CCATTGGTTCTAAAAAAAGTTGAGAGTGCATTGGCGGCGAATTTTAGAAAGTCCAAGGATAAGAACAAGGAAATGACAAAGAGAGAAATTTAAGGACAAACCTAAAGACAAACATAAGGACAAACCTAGGGACAAACTAGAGAAAAACAAAGGTTCAAAGCTATGATTTCTTCCATCGGTTAAACCTTTTTTTGAAAAAGTTAATGAACATATGTCCAAGTCTCGATATTAGGAGCGGAATATAAAGTATCCATGATGGATTCACCACTTTTTATATCATCATAATTATAATATAAAGCTAAGAACTAGACAAATGATTTTATAAAAAAAGAACGGAGCCGAGCAAAGACAAATCAACGAACTCAAAGCCAAAGTCCAAGAATTAGAAAAAAAAGGAGAGAGGCATGAATAAAGACCAACTAGCTCACGAGCTTAAACAAAACAAAAACTAGGACTTTCTCATGTCCGGTAATCTATTGAATAAATAATGAATAATTCTTATTAATTTCTAACAAATAATTTTTATAAAAACGACTTAAATGTACGTACCATCTTCAATATAATAAAAACTATTTAAAAAAAATTATGTATAATAACAATATTAATATAATAATGTAAAGAATATTAGAGTTCAAGAAATTGCGAGCTCTTTCGTTCTCAAGACGCAAATTTATATCGATGAGTTCCTGGCGGATAACATTTACAGATCTTTCTTCGACAAGCCGAATTCGTTCCTCAATGAAACGAACAAGACCATCGATCTGTCGTTCTTCAACGAACCCAACAAGATCAAGATATAAATCTCTAACATCCGTAAGTATTATGTTATATCTTGATGTTCTGGCTCTTCTTATAGTTCCAGCGGTATAATTTTCCTTGAAAGGGACTACAAGGATACCAATTGTAGTACCATTGTGGTACCTCGATAAAACCCCTTCCAAGTCACGTAGGATCTCGGGACCTACAATAAATATTAAATTAACGTCGATTAATAAGATTTATATACTGATATATTCAACACATTACCTATATTTCGCCTCCTATTTTTGCATTAAACCAAGATCAAGAATCCTTCGTAGTTTCCGAAAAGATCCACACCACCATCCCCTGGTCTTGGTCTGAAATATCAAAATAAAAAAAGTGAGTGTGTGTCATTATCGTCAAAAACCAAAAAACGTTCACAGTTGCATGTAACTGCGGCCACGATGTGCTTTCAATTCGATGTTTTGTATCCTATTCATCACAAACCCAGGGCTTAAGCCAGTGCAGATTTTTCGGTAACGGTGTTCGAACGTTCACAGCAGGTTGTACCTGACTGGCAACTTTCGCAAGATGTGCCCACGAAGAGCTCTCGATCCTCCGATATACACTTAGTAGCAGCGTAACTTCAGATACATAACAACTCAACAAATACTCAGTGATATAATCACCTTATTCTGTAAACTTCTACGTCATGACTCATGAAAATTCTTAAAGTTTCAATTTCAAAGTTGTTTCCTCTAATATATGAGTTCATGGTAATTTTATTAGTGTGTTTAAGCGGCTTTTGGAAAATAAAATTATTGGAGAAAGTTCAAGTCTATTTATAGATTGGTTATTTGAGAGGTAGAATTTTTTTTCGCTTAACTTTGGAGTTAGGCAAATATATCCTCTCCACTTTTCTATAATCTTATAAAAGGAAATAAACCACGTTATAGATATAATTAATATCCTTTTCAATAAACTTTCATAATAACCTAATACTGGTTTAGCAATTCGAACGACATGAATATTTGAGAAAGTGAAGTGATATGATGCATAAAAAAAAATTTTCACGAAAATTAAAGATAAAACTAGTAAAGCAAATATTTCAAGGGACTTCGTCCCTCCGGCGATATATATATCACGTGGGGAGAAATTAATGTAATCGTAGTAATGAAAAGAGCTCCAATTTTTTTCCTATTTCAGAAAATAAAATGCTTAACCTAGGTTAGGGGAGTGCCAGAAAAGACGTAATTTAATAGGGCAGGGAGGGTAAGACAAGCCAAGTGATGTTGCAATTTCCATTTTAAGTAAATTACAGTATAATTTATAATATATTTTATATTTGACACTGTGTCATTCTTAACACTGCGCTATTCTTAACACAGTGCCATCCTTAACACAGCATCATACCGTATAATTTAAGGTTAATTTCAAATGCATGAGCATATGCTACATATGCTAAAAATTTTATTATAAAACGCCTCATTTCCGCCCTTTATCAACTTTCGTTTCAAAAAGATTTAAATATTAAAAATGTAGTAGTTAATTGCTAATGCGTAACTTTTCGCAATGAAACAAATGTACCTTCGGGAGCCAAAATACTCTAAGAATTATATTATTTCAAAACCACAAAATTTTTATGAACAGTATATGAATGCTTTGCATTTTCTGAAATGGCAAAAAGAAATAATGTAGCACTAAATAAAAAAGAACTTCAACTAGAAGCACAGAGTAATTGGTGAGAAATAAGAACGAAAAATTAAAATGATATTCAAAGTTTTATCTCTGAATTATTATAAATTCCTCTTCAGCCATCTTTTAATATTTTTTCAAAAAATAAACTTGTATCTAAACCTATACCACCACACCCCTACCACCACCACCTTCACTATTACTTCCTCATTCTCCTTCTGATCCTTTTGATGATACTCAACTTCTACTAAATGCAGTGACACATAGAAATTTATATGAATATAATAAATTATTATAAGTGACAATATCTTTAAAACGTCATGTTGAATTTACTTCAAAAATCAAAAAGTTTGAGAAAATTATAAAAATAGAGAAAAGAAGACTCAAGCAGCTAAAAGATAATGCTGCATCTAAGCAATAATCCTAAAAAAGAAAAAAAGAAATACTAGAGAAGAAAAACATGATAGAAATATATAATACACCAAGTCAGCCATCATATTTAATAAATGATCTAAACCTTTTAAAAAAAATGCATAGTAGCATTGAGTTTGAAGCTGCTGATTACAAAAGACATAAGGAGTAATTAAAGTATGCACAGTTCAGCACCTTCATGAAAAATGGAGAAGGATTATCATATTTATATGATAAGATCTACATTGCAAAATTATATACAACCCTGGTATATATATAACTGCTGTAGGAAGAAATGAAATAAATAATCATATTAATAAGTATTATTGTCTGACATCAGTTAAGAGTGCAAAATCATTTGCATCAATATTTCCTTAAGATATTGTATTAATTTCATAAGATGATAAAGCCAAGGTATTGTAATTTAATTTTTTATTTATTTATTTTTTTTGTTTTTGATTTTAATTTAAAATTTTATTAGATTTCTCTTAGAATTGCTGCTATTGAAAAAACATTTAAGGCTGTGCAAACAATAAATAAGACAGTATCTATTCTGGACTATGATTTTCTAATAAGCGCAAAATATAAGCTTATACTATCTGTTTATTTAGTAATTGATCCCAATGATCTAAATGATTTCTTATATTCTGGTCAATTAAGAATTTTTATTCAATCTGAATTCTTTTTAGATACATCATATGAAATATATATCAAAAATTAAGTTGAATTTTTGTGATTTTTTTTACTTTTTATAATAGAAATATGCCTTTAATTATTAAAATCAGATGAAAATTAAGTTGAATTTTAATCAATTTTTCTGATTTTTTTTTTACTTTTTATAATAGAAATATGTTTCTAATCACTAATTAATGATTAATCACTTCTTTACTTATATAAAGATCTCTAAATTTGAAGATGTGAAACAATATCTATTACAGACTTATCAGCGAAAGCCAAGTTTCTATCAATCTCTGACTTTATTTACATTAGTATTTAAGCATGATTAATATTGATCAATAGATTAATTGACTAATTTCTAATGCATATTAGTATTTATATTCACATATTTAGTTATATATAAATTCTTATAAAATTATTTAGTTTTATGCCTTTGCTGAAACCTGAACCTGTGACTATTGCAGTATAATTCACAATAGGAGCTTGATGATTTATCATTCAAGAATGATGATTTTATCATTCAAAAATAATATTTTATAATTTGATCAGGTCAAGTTAGGTCAGATTAAGTCAAATGAAAATTTAAATTAAATCAGATTTTTATTTAACCTGATCTGATCTTCTCAGTTTAGGTAACTTAATTGACTTGACTTGAACTGACCTATTCGGAGTTCTATAATAAATTCAATTTTGAAATTTGATATAAATGATTTATTAAAGATATAAATAAAATCAAATTTATTATCCCTTAAACTGTAGAGCAGACAAATTTGCCTGCAAACTTATCAAATTTTTAGTTTTTATGTAACAGATTGTCAAATACAATAAAGATTTATATAATAATTTTATATCATATTCTTTAGTTATTATTATACAAATAGTTTTATTTTTTTTATCATTTAATCATCAAAAATAATACTTTTAAACCTCAAAGTTGAATGATCTTTTGCAGATAAATTTGCCTGCATACTTAATTTTTAAGTAAAAAAAGAAATAATAAATAAAAATTTTTTTAAGCAAATACTAATTAATTTGGATTTAAATTTATTTATATATTGCAGTTTTTACAATAGTTACAATGAATATGTTAATCATTTCAAACCTACTGCATATTACCTTTTTTATTACAAATCTAATTCCTATGTATTTTCAAATGTAAAGCAGGCAAATTTGCTTGTAACGATCATTAACTTTTTTGAATTATTCAAACCTGATAAAAGTTTGTTCTTTAAATAATTTTCTCACGTCGTCTGTTTTTCCATTATATCTGATTCTACACAAAGTGAATTTTATCTTTGCTCATTTACTCGAAATCATGATTTAGATAATGAGGCTGAAATATTAGAATCTGATAAGCCAAAGGAAAAAGGCAAAGAAAAATCTAAAAAAAAACACACAAACTGAATCTACTACACAAAGCATGTTCAAATTTATCTAATGATTTGGAGGTTCAACCTTACCTTGTTTTTCTTAAAGTTTTTTCCAATCAACAAATGGAAACTATTGTAAATAATGCAAATATATATGCTTATATACATGGTATAAAAATTGGAAAAGGTAATTTAGTAGGTGAAGACCGTAATTGGACTGAATTAATAATCAAAGAACTTAAACTATGGTTATTTAAGTTTCCATTGGTTTAAGATTATTGGAAAGGTGATATACATTATCTATCACATGAAATAACTAAACTAATGTTCTTATTTAAATTTCAACAGATAAGCAATTTTTAATTATGTTTATTTTTAATTGAATTTGACTTTAATTAACTTTTTTTTTAAAAAAAAATTTACATCAAGCGATATCTGCATGTTTCAGATTGTAGTACTCAGCTTCAATCGCTAAACATGTCATGTTTGTGAAACTTGAACCCTTGCATCATATATTCATAATACTTCAAAATAACTCTATATTTCAGCTTCAAATGTGTCTATAGACGAGATGATCGCTTGATTTTCTGAGCGTAATGGTCATACATTTCGAATCAAGAACAAACCTATACTGGAGGGTTATAAAATTCTATCATTATGTGAATCCGGATACACTTATACTTTCATGTTTATGTCACAAATTAAACCTTCAAATGTTAGTTTAATTCCTAATGTTAACAAAATTGGAGCTGAAGTTTATCATTTAGTGAATCAGCTACCACCTCGTAAAGCATTTAATATATTTATGGATAATTATTTTTCAAGTATAAATTTGTTTAATTTTCTTTGAAGTAAAGGTTATAGAGCATGTGGTACAGTCCGTACTAATACAGCAAAATTTCCCATTTTTTTTAAAAAAAGAAAAAGAAAAAAAGGTCTTGAATGGGATTTTTTAAAGGGCATAGTAGTAGATAATGTTTTATCATTACTATGAATTGACAATGGTCCTGTAAAAAAGTTACTTTATTGTAATGCTAAAAATCCCCTCGAAAATGTTTCTCTTGCTGAAATTACTACATTCAGATCCGGAACAAAAATCTACTGGAATATGAATAACTAATGAACTATTGGTTTAAAAAAGTGAATTTACTTTAGAATTCGACCGGGATTTACTGTATAAACATATTATTCCATAAATATAATAAATATATTTTATAGTGTTATATTTTAAATACCTGGTCATGTGTTCTATATAAACTTATGAAAATTTGGTCACTTTTTAATTTTATCGATAGAAGATCCATCGGGACTTTTTTAGTCAGGACAAAGCTGAATTTTGAGGAGGAAATTGTTCAAATCACATTTAATATTTTAAGATTTTATAAAAAATTTATTTAGTAATATCGAAAATTTATTCTAAATTCCAAAGCGGAGTTATTCCGGGTTTTTTTTTATTCGTCACATGTTCAAATTTCTTAATGCCGTAATTCCGGCTAAAACAACTCCGCTTTAGACGGCCCCTAAATATGGTGATACAACATTTGTGTTCCGATCGATATTACCAAATTTAAGACTCGGCATTAAAATCATACGATATTTTCGATGTTTAAATTTAAACTTTTTTTTTTTTGCTTTTTGAAAAATAGTGTTAGCATATCTAGTTATCGCACTATAATTCATACTACATAATTTCACTTCATATAATTTTCATGATGTTAAAACAATTCGGAAGATTAATTATTAACCAAAATAAATCTACATGTTATAAACCATTGTTTTATCAAAATACAAGAGGGTTTCATTCCACTTATATCGCCTATTATGCCGATGTAAAAGTATGTTTAATTATTTTTTTCTTTTATTTCACTTTTGTTAAAATAATTTTAATGTTTCATTCATTGAATCATTTTGTAATTTCAGACATTTGACAAAATTTTGATCGCAAATCGCGGTGAAATTGCTTGTCGTGTTATTCGTACGGCTAAAAAAATGGGAATTAAAACTGTAGCTATTTATTCTGATGCTGACGCTCGTGGTTTACATGTAAGTTCTTTTACCCGGAATTTTTTTCAGGTGTAAGGTTACGGTAAACTCTATGCATATTCATGCAAAATTCAACTCTAAGATACCTCTTTCTTATATTATAAATGTTAACTCAATTGTTCTATTTCAGGTCTCTATGGCTGATGAAGCTGTTAATGTGGTAATGTTATCTTTGAGCGAGTTGTTGTATTAACAAGTTTTCACATTTAATTATTAAAAAAAACAAGCTTGTTTCATTAGGGACCTCCTCCATCAAATCAAAGCTATCTTAATATCCCAAGTAATATGTATAATTATATCACTAATTATTAATATTATTATGAATTTACTAATATAGCTCATTAATCCCTTATAAAAAGATATTATTAAGGCTATTCAAGAAACTGGTGCACAAGCTGTACATCCAGGTTATGGTTTTTTATCAGAAAATTCTAATTTTGTAAAAAGTTTGGATGAAATTGGTATCGCTTTTATTGGACCAGGTGAAAGTGCTATGGCAAAGTTGGGAGATAAGATACAAAGTAAAATTATTGCAAAAGAATCCGGTGTTAATATCATTCCTGGTTATAATGGAGTTGTAAAAGACGCTGATCATGCTTTAGAAATCGGTAATTATGAAATTAAACTATTTAAAATTAAAACAGATTTTAATAACTTAAAACTTATTATATTTTTATATAGCAAATTCCATTGGATATCCTGTTATGCTTAAGGCTTCAGCGGGTGGTGGAGGAAAAGGTATGCGTATTGCATGGTAAGTTAATTTAATAAAATTTTAAAGAGATCTTTTATTATAATAATAATGATGATGATCATTATAACTTATTTACACTTTAATTATAGGAATGATCAAGAAGTCATTGAGGGTTTTAAACTGGCATCTCAAGAATCTTTATCAAGTTTTGGTGATGATCGATTATTAGTTGAAAAATATATAGATAATCCTCGTCATATTGAAATTCAACTTATTGCTGATAATTTTGGAAATGTATTTTATCTTCCGGAACGTGAATGTTCAATTCAAAGGAGAAATCAAAAAGTTATTGAAGAAGCTCCAAGTACTCATTTAGATCCTGCCACACGTAAAGCAATGGGTGAACAAGCTGCTTCACTCGCAAAACATGTTGGTTATGTTTCAGCTGGCACAGTGGAATTTTTAGTTGATTCTCAACGTAATTTTTATTTTTTGGAAATGAATACACGACTTCAAGTTGAACATCCTATTACTGAATATATTACAGGAATGGATTTGGTTGAGCAAATGATTCGTATTGCAGCAAATCAAAAATTATCAATGAAACAGGAGGATATTAAATTTCATGGTTGGGCAATAGAATCTCGTGTATATGCCGAAGATCCCGAAAAATATTTGCCATCTATTGGACGTCTTAATAAATATCGTGAACCTGTTAGTATTACAGATAAAAATGAAGTTCGCTGTGATTCCGGAGTTTTTGAAGGAAGTGAGATTAGTATTTACTATGATCCTTTAATTTGTAAACTTTCTACTTATGGTGAAACAAGAGATGAAGCTATTCAAAGCATGAAAAAATCTTTGGATTCTTATGTTATCAAAGGTTTTTTTATGATTTATTTATTTTCTTTTTCTTTTATTAATATCATAATATTAACAAAATTTTTATTATAAAGGCGTTACGCATAACATTTCACTATTACGTGAAGTTATTGGAAGTTCAAGATTTCAATCCGGAAAAATATCTACAAAATTTCTTGGTGAAGAATATCCAAAAGGTTTTAAAGGTCATGTACTTAATAAAGAATCATTATATGAACTCGCATCTGTTGCTGCTTTAATACATGCTAAGAAAGATTTACGTAATTGGCATTGGTTAGATGATAAAGGTGCTTTATTAAAAAGTACATTAAGTGAGCAGGCACCAAAATCTTGGAATCTTTGGATAAAAATAAATAATGAACATGTACATAATATTAATATACAAGTTGAAAAACGAAGTTTAAATAATGAATTTTTGGTATTCTATTTTTTTTTTAATTATTTTATTTATTTATTTATTTCATTTTAAATGAATATTAAATCCCAAGTTCATATTTATAAATTAGATTAAAACAGAAAATTATCCTAATGCTTTAATTAAAACTGATTGGGCTTTAGAATCACCTTTGATAAATACACATTTTCAAATCGCGGATGATTTAGAAAAAACAATTACTATTCAATATATTGATCCATTACCAATTGGTTTTCGTCTTCAACACCTTGGAACAAAATTTGATATAACTGTACATAGTCAAAGACAACATGAATTAAGTCAGTATATACATGAAAAACCAAAACAAGATTTATCAAAATTTATATTAAGTCCTATGCCTGGTAGCGTGATAAGTTTGGCAGTCAATGTAGGAGATATTGTAAGTATTAATTATTTTAAAATATATATATATATATACCTTAAGCTTCGTTTATTTACTTATGTTATTTTAAATTCTTATTTAATGATATTAAAGGTAAATGAAGGTGCAGAACTTGCTGTTGTTGAAGCTATGAAAATGCAAAATGTAATACGCGCTTCTCGCGTTGGTAAAGTAAAAAAGGTTAATGTTAAACCCGGTGATGCTGTTGCTGCAGATGAAATAATGATAGAATTTGATGAAGTTTAGTTTTTTGATAAGGATTGAGTATATTGTAAAAAAAAAAAAAGTCAGTGTTGTTTACCAGAATCTTCGACAATACCTCTATAATCTTTTAACCGATTTTTCTTTTTTTTTTTGTATAAACTTTTATTTATTTTATATATAATAAAAAATTTGTTTTTTTTTGTATTGTGATATTATTATGTAATAAAATAATGTTTGTCATTAAACTTTGTATATATAATATTTTATAAATATATGCATCAAAAAATTAAGTTCTAATTTTACTAAATTTATCATAAATAATAAAAATATTAAATTGATTAAAGCTGATATTTAATTCTAAAAGATTAAATACTACCGTTGTAAAGTCCGGAACGATCTTAACTAAAAAAAATTCACACTGGTATTTGCTTTATCTAGACTTTTGTGTCAATCAGCATTGACTGTATCATCTTGCATAGTATTATATAGTCCTTCACTTCGTTCCGGACTAATAATAATCATTAAAATTTTATAAATTTAATTAGATAAAAATTTATAATTAATATTAACAAATTATACTTCAAAAAAATAGTATTTTTTTAAAAAAAAATACATCATAAAATAAAGTTTTTTTAAGATATTCGAGAATATCAGAGTTCATAAATTCGATAAATGAAAATTCTAAATTAAAGTCTAGCTAAATCTCAGCTAACCTGAAATCACCATAACTTACTTTTATACTTGCCCAAAGATTACTATCCAGTATTATAGACCATCTATCACCAGACTCTTTAGCTAACTTGAAACCACTATCAGAATTGAATAAAGTAATCATTTTTAGCTATAAAAATCATCACTTCCTACTATTATTATCTATATCAGATCACTATAACTTTTACTCATTATTAAAGGAATTTTTTATTTATAATTAAGAAAGTCCAAGATGAAACAATCTTATAAAAATTACATCTTAGGAATTACCATCTCTATATAGAATTCAGGTAGATAAATGTTATACCTATTTTATCAAATATACTTAGAAATAAATTTGACTTCTAATAATAGCTCAATTGAATAATATTGCAGCTATGCAATGCAGTTTATTTATTACTATAACTTCTTATGGAGTACTTAATTTACTAAGTACTAATTAATCACTTTTTATGAGATAAAGACCTTATCATTTGAAAAAGTGAGATAATATTCACTATAATTTATTAATAAAGATTACATTTTATCAATTTCTAACTTTATTTGCATTTAAATATTCTTAAATTTAGTATATAAGTATAATTAATATTAGTTAATAAATTAATCAATCAATTTTAATAAATATTAATATATATATTCAAATATTAAATATAAATAAAATATTTATAAAAATTATATTGTTTTATATTTTAGTTAAAGTCTGAACTTATAAAAGTATAATTTACAGTAAAAACTCAATTATTATTAATTAATCTAGAAATGTCAATCTCTTTATAAAATAATAAATCTAGTAATAATAATAATATAATAATAATATAAATTGATTAGTTAATGTAAGCTAAATTTTTTATTAGTATAATAAAAAAATGCTTAAAAGTTAATAATATATTACTTAACTTTATTTGAAAAGGATTTAAATTTTCAAATAATTTTTAAATAATTTTTTAATCAATAATTTCAGTTTTAGTTAAATATAGTTAGATATTTTTATTATTTTTATAATTTAAATAAGTATTTTGTAATAGAAAAAAGGAAACTACTAAAAAATTTTTTTTAAATTAATATTAAATCTAAATTTATTTTACTAAAAAAATAATAATTAGCTTATAAGTAAAAAATTTTTTGGTAGTTTCTTTTTTTACTATAAAGTATTTATATATTTTATATTTAATATCACTAATCAAAATAGTCTAAATCAGCTAGAAATTAAATAGTTGAATTTAGGTTGATTTTAATATTATTTATAGCTGATTAGTCATATTTTTAATTATTTAAATCATTGTTGATCAACTCTGATTAGATAAAACAATTTAGTATCAATTTAAAATTTAAATTTTAATCAAAAATTAGTTCAAAATTGATACTAATTTAATACCAATTTATAACTTAAATTTAATTATAAATCAGCTTAAAAAACTGCCAATTACCTCTAATAAATAAATAATTCAGCATTAATTTAATACTTAAATAATTATAAATCAGTATTAAATATTAAAATTTTATTAATAATTAAAATCTAATATAAAATTCACAAATATATAATAAAAATATTATCCAAATTTATTGATTAATTTTCTATTAAAAAAATATAAACAAATAAATGAAAAAAATCATATAAAAAGATAATAAATAATTAATATATAATTAAAATCTCTTTAAATATTTATTATTATAATATTATTATTATACTTTAAATGCATTAATATCAAAATATATATTAAAATATTCTAAATAGAAATGTATAATTAGGATATTTACTTATTTTAAAAGTGTTAAATACATATTTCTAATATCTAAAATATTATTCTAAATAAGCATTTAAATATTTTAAAAGATCAATTTAATCTTATTTTAAACTATTCTAAATAACTTTTAATGATCTGAGTTTATTAAATTATAACCTTATATTTTATATTTTATTAAAACAAATTAATTTAAATTAATATTTATATTTATAAAACTTTATTTTTTATTTAAATTATAAATAAAAATATAAATAATCTTTATATTAGTAGATTATTATAATTTTTACTTAGATAATAATTTATATTATAATACTTTTTATTTTTTACAAATGCAATAAAATGTAATGCAAAAGTCTTTTTGCATTTATATTTTATATCAGAAATTTTAACTATGATATATTTTATAATCTAAAACCTTTTTAATACTAATAATATTATTAGAAATATTATCAAAGTTCAGATAAATTATTCAATGATATTGATTTTAATTATTTTATTTATAACTAATATTCAAAATTTTAGATTTACAATCTAATTTATAATAATTTTTATATAATATTTTAATAATTTTACAAGATATATTAGGCTTATCAGTTTTAAAATGATCTTTACTAAAATTTTTAAATTTACTATATTTCTATTTTAAATTTTAAGGAATTTTATTATTAATTTTATATATTATTTTTATAAGTATTTAATTTTTTTTATACTTTATTTTATACATTTTTATCAAATTAATTATTAAATTATTTTAATTATATAATAAATTTATAATATAAAAATATGATATATATTAAAATTACTTTATATTCATTATTAATTTATCATTAGAATCAATTTCAGTTAGATTCTAAAACTAATTTATATAGATTTGTAACTGATTAATAACAAAACACTAGGTCTGCAATATATATTCCTTTAAGTTTTATTTATTTTTAAAAAATATATGTATATTAAATGCTAATTAACTATATTATGTTAATTAGCTATAAATAAAATAAGTTATATTTTAGCTATTTTTGATAATATACTAACTTTTGGTTAATTTATTATCTCTTAGATTGTCTAGCAAACAAATTTGCATGTAAACTTAAAAAAATGTATTATTTTTTTTAATAAAATATTAAATATTAATTTTAGTAATATAATAATTATATGAAAAATATAGTTTAATATATATTTTATTAATTTATTAGAAGAAATTTTAAGTTTATAAAATATTTTTTAAATAATTTAATTTTTAAATTTAAGTTTTAAAAAATATATTATAATAATTTTTTAAAAAGATTCTTTAAAATTTATATGTTTGTGAACTAATTAAATCACTTTATTACTAATAAAAGTCATAAAAGTAAATATTAATAAGATTGTTAAAGGTTAATAATGAAATTTTTAATTTATAATTTTATTAAAAATTACAAATTTTTAGCTTATAAGTAATTGTAAATTATTAATTATATAATTAAAAAATAAAAATTACTATAATATAATATATATTTATAAAATTAATTTAAAAATTTTTTTTTAAAAAATTTTAATTTTTTATAAAAGTAAATCAGAAGAAATTTATAGTAAATAAGTAGGCAAATTTGCCTGTGAATCTTTATAATCTAAGGGACATATCTGATTTCTTTTGATTTTGATCAGTAAAATAAATAAGTCATAAATTTTTAATAAAATAAAATAAATATTAAATTTAACAAATGTTATGAGATATTAATGCTATAAATTTAGATATATATTAAATTAATTTGAATAAATAAGAGATGAATATATAGTTGCTGTCTATACCTCATATTATAGAATTCCATCCCATCTCAAATCTCATACTATATTTAAAATCCCATATCCCATATTTCAAATCCCAATCCTAAATCCCAAATCCCATTTAATTTATAATATATTTTTTAAGTATTTTTTAATTAATATCTCACTTACAAAAATAAAATAATAATCATTTAAATCTGGAATGGAATGGGATTGGAACTTTATCTCATACCCATATAGTATGGGTAACAAGTATAGATATACAGTATATCTATCTATTTATTATATAATAATTGTGTTTGTGTGTAATAGGAAACGTTTAGAGTATCTGTATAAAAAAAAATTAAATTGTGTATCATTTCACAAATTTCCAAAAAAAGGAAAATTGCTTCTTAAGAAAATGGGTTACGGTTATGCAAATAGATTACACGAATTTCCTTTTTAGGAACTTTTGTAAATTCTTGTGATTTGCTTCATTGCTTTGCCAAATTTAATAAATTAAGAATTTATTTATTGATAGGAATTGGAGGAATGATTTAAAAAATATGAATAGCATAGTAAAACTTTTATATGTAAGGCATAACCAAAAGGTATCTTCTATAAATTTTAATGTTCTTTATTAGAATTAGTTATAAAAATATTTTTTATGAGATTTAAATAATAATATCTATTAAATTAAAAAAAAAAAAGTATAAAAAATGTTATTTAATAAGAATTTCAATTAAAGTTTTGCTAATCCTTTTAATTTCAAAATTGTAATAAAAAAATTGGCATACTTAAATTTAATAATTATCAATAGACAGTTTTTCTCGTAGTGCAATCATAAATTTTACTCATGTCCATGTGGCAACTAAAAGTACCACACTTTATCGGAGCAAAGTACGCACGCATCCATATATCATAATCGCCGGGAAGCGGATCATCCCCTTTAAGTTGATGGTCTCCCAATTATATACCCAGCAGACACCATAATTTATTCCAACTCCAAGTTTATCACGTGGCTTTGTTTGATCAAAGTTTTTTCGGGCAGGATCTTCACTCCTGTAATAAAGTGTCTCCTTGATATCATTCGTGTTATTTAGAGGTAATGTGATGGCTTTCACAAATGTATAAATATCATTTTCGTTATCATTGACTAACACTAATCGTCGTGCCACATTATTGTTAAGAACCGTCGTTCCATCTGGCTTTTTCTTATTTTCATTATTATCATTGGTTAAATTAATATACACATCTGTTTTTTTTTTAGTTGATCTAATTAGCAAAGGCTCAGAAATGTCTTCAGATTTGTTAGAATAATTTGTATACTTTACCCGAACATTTACCCTTGACCTCGCAGACATGCAAAATGAAGATGAAGAAATGAGCGCATTTTCTTTGAATAACTTCATGATAGCGTATCGAACGAGAGGAATTTATAAACTTTTCAGTTAAGAGGTCGCAATTTAAACTTTTAAAATGATAAAGCCGTTTCAATTTATTGTGAAGGTATTAAACGACTTGCTTATTCAAATAATCGTAAAAGCAAAGGTTTTAATTTTTTTAATTATTAAGTTTTTTAGAGTTATATTTGAATAATAAATACCTTACCAAAAAAAAAAACCTCTTTTGAATCAAAATTTCTTTTTTTATATACTCTGCAGGTTATTTATAAACAATTGATTTTTTTTTTTTTAACTTTTTTATTTGGTTATTTAAATTATTGATAATAGAATATCAACTTCAGATCATTAAATATAAATCCAAAAATAGAATCACGGAAGAGTTTATTGAAGGGTCAACAGTAAGAAATAGAAAGAGTAAATTAAAATATCGAAGATAAAATTCAATTTTTTAAAGTAACAGTGAATATTTACCGTAATAATTTTGTGATTTACTGCGGTGATTCGTGACGTGAGAACGAGAACCTTTTTTTCCCTTTCATATTTTTGCACAACTTTAATCCGTACTTTGTAGAATAACATCTTCGAAATAAATTTATTAAAGCATTAAACACTGCAAAGTGGGTCTTTATTTAGATCAATGAATTTAAAAAATGCGAAAATCAAATATCATGCATATTTTTACGTAGCTTCTCTACATACTCTACATTTCAATAGTTACGCAATACAAACAAATATATCTGGAATGTGCATTATGAGATATTAATGGTGCACCCGCTAATTGACGAAAGTAATGGCGCAGTAATTAATGACAATTTATTTAACTTGCGATATTAATAATTTCGGATTAATAGTGGGTGTATTGCACCCAATGCACCATCAATTTTTATATAAATCAGGCCTTAAATATAAGTCTTGATGGACAGAAGTTCATCCACAAAGCTTTTCATTATGAAAGACTTAGGCAAATGAAGTTGATAGAGCTGTTGAATTAAGGGCGAATAATGACCAAATTGCGTGGCCAAGAGATCATGAGAGACCTAGTCAATTGTTGATTTTCGATTCTAACCAAATCTAAAAAGTTGAAAAAACTGTTGAAATGAAAAAAGTCCCTTCATAAACATTCGAATTGTGGTAAGCCATCATATAATTGAATTAACATAAATCAGCCTTTCAATGAAAAAGAAAAATTTTCATATTGTCTTGATAAACTTAAAAATTAAAGTGGAAAGTGAACGAAAAAGGTACGTTCAGAGTTATTACTCAATAAATAAACAATACTATATAACTCTGCGTTGTTATTTTAAGAATATTATTGAAAATATTTAATGAGTTGCTTTATTACAACTAAATCAAAGACACAGCATCTCGTTACATATTTGTTCATTAACATGAATTTTTTTCATGATTAACGACCCAGTTCAAAATTTTTCAGGAATTCTCATGCACATATAGAAATACAAGAAGGTTCGCAATATTATTTTACCATTGTTCATTTTGTGACACAATTCAACATTTTCGATTTTCGATTAATCGAATATAATCGATCGATCCATTGAGTTAGGTGCTTGAAGAACACCTTAAATAAATTAAATCCGAAAAAATAAAATAATTAAATTAAAAAAGTAGATTATGCTGTATAAATGCAAATTAAAAAAATATTAAATAAAAAATAAATATTAGAACCAGCGGTTATAAAAAAGTCGAGGTATTTAAAAATTAATTAAATTTCAAAATATCACGGAAAGTAGAATTAAAAAAATTAATAAAATTAAATAAAAAAACCAAATAAAAAAAATCAAATTTAAAAATTAAAATTATTAAAATAAAAAGTTTTCAAAATGAAAATTAAATTAAAATCGCGGTATAAAAAATTAAATTGGAAAAAAATATTTTAAAAAAATTAATAGTTATTAACAGAAACTAAAATAAAAGATACTATAAATTTAACTATTTAAAAAGAAAATTTGTGATACCAATAATTCCTTTCGGAGCGTCTCATGATGCGTTTCCTCCGGATGTTGGCGATCCCAAATGATTTTAGAAATGACTAATTATAGAATAGGCTGGTTGTTTGTCATATCTTAAGTATTTTTGTGAAAAGTTGCTATAAATAAATTATATTAATAGTTGTATGAGAAAATTATTCTTTCGAACGGTAATTTTCATGAGACCGTTAAGTTTCGAAAATAAAGATCCTTGAAACCCTTGAACTGGCAATTTTATTAAAATTAATTTCTCGTGATTGGATTTACCTCCGGTGCGTTTCTTATGATGAGATTCGCCTCCAGAGCATTTCCTTTCGTGAGAGATGTTTCTGGAACGTCATGAAACGTTCCCGAGACGTTTCTCTTTATGAATAATGTCACCAAGAAGGTTTCACTTAAAGAAAAATATTTCCGGAACGTTTCTTATTAAAAAAAAAATGCTCCAAAAGAGAATAAAATAATGATTGGACCCATCATATAAAATATAACACGAGACGGTTTGTTGGAAAACAAGTATTTGAATTACGTGGTTATTCAATAATGTATTAGGTAAATTTTTACATTTTTGTTGGTTTTTTTTTATGTCACATGAATAAATCCAATCGGGGGGGGGGGGGCACGGACAAGAAATTTACCAAATTTGGCAATGTTAAATAACGAGTGAATGGCTCATCTATTTAAAAAATTATGACGTCAATGGGCGCGAATATTAACATTTAAGGATATCTGGTGCCATATCAGTCTTTTTTTTTAAGGGTAAATTGTAGGTGATAAATATTTGTTTTTCGTTTATTAATAGAAGCTTATCGTTATTTCTCAAAATCAAATGTGAACCTCTCTCGAGTCACCTGTGAGAAAAGATTTCCATGAATTTAACAATTTAGTCGTTCATTTGCATAACAATATGTATGTATAATCGGAGTCATCAACCGAGATGTATAATATTGTTTTAGATTTTATCATAGATAATAGATCTTTTGTTATAGCAGTTACCCCAACCCAATCTTCTTGGCATCCAACCAAACTTCATGAATTAATAGATCTATAAAAGCGAGTCCTTTTAATGAAATAAGTACTTTGAAAAAAAAAAAAAAAATTGTTTTTGAAATAAAAAAAAATTAAAATTACAATTAAAATCTTTTTTTTTCAAATTTAATATGAAAACATTTATAATTTTGGCATTCTTTGCTTACGTGCTTGTGAACGTCATCGCTGTTTCGGCGGTGTCACCAATTGATGATGACCTAGATGATGATTATGCACTTGAAAAACGAAGCACATGTGTATTTAAGAGAGATGGAGTGACCAAAAGAACGACGGTTAAAAGGTGTCCTTCCACTCTCGCCAATGCGATTTTCGATCCAGAATGGTCTAAAACAGAAAAAGTTTCCGACGGTCCAATTAAAGGTCTTGTGGTCTTTGCTCAAGATGAATGTGGGAGAACTACCGTGACAGGCTATTTCAGTAAAGGTTTCAATTCGACCAAGAAATACAAATACCTAATCATTGACAATTGCGAAGAAGTCGTCTGGGACATGACAAAAGGATTGAACATAAGGATAACTGATGAAGGTAGTACCAGAGCCTTCAGTCATACATATGATAAAGTGAACCTTGATTGTGATATGAATGGTATTCTTATGAAGGAGGCTGAAAGATCTGAACCCTTATTCAAGCGTACCTGCAAGAATCTATCTAAACGAGCGGCTTCCGATAAATATTTCCGGATTACTGAAAATGGTAATAAAAAAAGTGATGCGAAGCTTCTCAAGCAAAAGAAATAAGAAATTTTTTATTTTTTTATATACATATTTATATGTTCATTCTATTTATAAAGATTTTTTCTTTTATTTCTAACGAATTTATTAAAAATTTACTACAATTTGTATGAATCTTTGTAAAATATAAAATTTTGATGTACAGTAGTAAATTATTTTTTTTTTTAAAATAAAAAAAAAAAAAAAAGATTTCAATGTTTGTAGAAAATTCCATCCCTGATGATCAAAAAATCATACCTAAATAAATTCCAGGGAGTGATAAAATGGAGGGAAAATTTAATAAATAACAAATTTGTGAATACTATGAAAAATAAAAGATAAACTGTATTTGTCTTTCGACCCCTAATTGGGATCTCATTTAAGTAAAAAAAAAAAATGATTTAAGGTCATTGTTTCACCTAACCCATTTCTTTCATTTCATTTTTCATTTTTTCATTTTTATTTTTATGAACTATTTGATTGGATAAAAAAAACAAATTCAACATCATGAAGTTACTTATTTTTGCAATTTTCTATATCATTTTGTTTGCAATATTACCCGTCAAATCACAATTACATACCTTTACATATTATGAAAACGCCTCTGATCCCATCATTTTTTCGATGGAAACTTATGATGATAACACGATCGTCATTCATATCATTAATGCAAATTCATCAGACACTTCCGATGATAATGATGATGATTTGATATGCGTGAATAGATATTTGTCATTTCGCACAATTTATCCTGACGGAAGCTTTGAATCAGTTAACATTACGTTGGATATACAAGATTTAAATTATTGTATTCGGGTAATAGGTGACATATTTAGCCCTATTAACATTTATGCTGTTAGAAACAATTTTTTGTTAGTAACATATGCCGTAGTTACGGATGTCGATGATCTTACGACTTATGATGAGCGGGCGATGGTGCTTGATTTATCTGGAAATATTTATAGGTTAGAAAAAAAAATTAGCCTAATATTAAATTTTATATAAAATAATTTAAATTTTTTATATTATTTTTTTTCATAGTAACGCTTCTCTAGGTTATGCCTATTTTCATCCTGTTACTAATAAGTGGTTGCCTAACTTTGCAAAGATAACGCATAATGTTAATCGAGACAAGGGATTTCTTCGCTTTGGGCGTATAGCAAATACTAATAATAGCTTCTGGCAGCAATTCATGATGTAATTGATCACGTGCACATAAATTTCAAATTAATTATGGAAACAAACTTAACTTCGTTTTTTCTTTTTAAGAACTGATAAAGGAGAAATTCAACTGCTTGCAGAAGGTGTCATCATGTTTCCAGAAGATTATATGTCTGTTATACTTCATGCCGTCGCAATGATGGACGGAGGATACGCGGTTATATACGCTAATACTACGAATTCAATAGCCACTCCCAACGATCCAATTCCTCCACACGGCGGAGTCTACGCCAAACTGTTACCATATGGAACAAATACCGATCGACACCCAATCGTTCTTTATCAAACTCAAATTCCGGGATTAAATTTTACCAGCTTGGATTGCAGTATTTCTTACGTAGGGGTTGGGCAATCGTGTATATTAACCGGAAAATTTGCATTTCGAGCCATAACAAACACATTTTACACTAAAATTGATTTTCTTTCGTCTGGAAATGTATATAATATTCAATCATTAAATGCTACTATTCCTACAAATCCTGAAGTTGATACTTATAACGTTAGATCACTGCCATATGGAGGTTATTTATTAGATGGAAAAGGGGAGCAAATTATTTACGGTTACCTTTTAAATGACACCCAAGTTTATAATTGGGATTTGGATAATCCTATCAATGGAAGTATTATGGATGCTAGTGTAATCTTACCAAATAATACTTTTGTATTTGCGCAACGTGAGGAAACTCAAAATTGGAGTTTGAGCTCAATGGATTTGCCCAAATTTGCCGGGAACATAGGTAAATGACACGGAAAATTTAAAGCAAATATTCAAAAAAAATTAAAACTTTAATTTTTTTTTTTTATTATTATATTTTGTAGATCATGGATATGGGAATTTGCATATTAACTACACATTTCCTCTTGTTAACGATATAATTGATGAAACAAATATCATAAAGATTAATTATCATAATCCTATTGATTTATCAAATCATAATATCATAATATTTCAAAATGACCGCAATATTGTACGTCAAAACATTTCTGGAAGCGACGCCAAATTTGTATCTCTTGACGATGATGGAACCACCGTTATTGTTAATATAATCAAAAGTACATTTAATCGGCCTGGTGAAAGTTATTACGTTTCAATTGAAAATGGTTTTGTAAAGAGTCGGCAATATCAAGAACCAATCATTGGCTTACAAAACAAGGCTTGGTTTTTTACAACACGTAAGTGCTTTGTAAATTCCTCCTCTACTTTTAATTTAATATCTGATAAAAGTAATTACCATTTCCAATTAGAAATGAAGGATGAAAAGAGTTCGGATAAAATTACAGGGAGAGTTCGATTGACTGCGGAAGGAACATTTGTTTATGAGAGTCTTGATGAAGATGGACGTAAAGATTTTTACGCAAACTTAATGCGGGAATTAGCTTATGCAATCCCCATCAGCCAGAATCGTATAACGACTAATGGAAAATTCGAAACGGATCCCTCGGTTTCTCCAAAACAAATCATTTTATCTATTAATATTGAAAAAGATAAAACCAAGCAAGAAAGAACAGTTAATTTAGCCGTTGAAGATTTAAATACTTTGATTGAAAATAAACCTATCACTCTTATTGGATCCGGCGAATTCTCGAAATATTTGGATCAAGATTATGGATACAAATTTTCTCGTAAGTTATTCACACTTCAAATTGGATGATAAAAAGATAAAATTCCAAAACTTAATATACTAATAAATTTCACCATTTGAACTTGTAAAATAGGCAATTTTCTTAGAGAATATGGATTGACAATAATTGGAGTAATAGCGATCATCTTCGTATTGCTCTCATTTTTCTTTTTAGCTAAACGTCAAAATAGGGAGGTAAGTATCTCGAGTTATAATTATAATTGAAATAAGTATCTCACGGGATTTATGTTATTAGGCAAAAAATATTGCAATCTTACAACTTGGACTTATCATTTTTGATCTGGTTTTGGATATTTTATTTGCTAGTACAAAATCAATGAACGTTGATGGATTATTTAAACCAAGGTAAGTCAATTTCTCAATTAAATTTATTAACAATTAAAAAAAAAAAAAATATTCATAATATTATTATTTCCTTTAAGTATTGTATTTTTAGTGGTTCCATTTATTATAGGTTCAGTAATGGCATTTAATATTATAAGAGAAGAGGATCGATATGATAATTTCTCAAAGTGGTCAAGTGAAAATACAAAAGTTGTAGCAATATTCACCTTATTAGCGGGAGCCGATATTGAAGCCTTATCCATGCTTGAATCAAATGTAAAAATTTTCGGATTAGATTGTTTTAAAGCTGAATTTTCTAAACATTCATTGAGGAAGATATTTTTCGGAGCTTGCCTTAATATATTTTCTGAAGAAATTCCTCAAATAATCATGCAGGTATGTAACGTAATTTATTTTTTTTTTAAAAAAAAAGAAAAATCAAATCACTAATTATTTTATAAAAAAATTTGATAGATTATATATTTTAAAAACGTAGTACGTTATGATCTTGTACCCATATTAACGTTCTCATCATCATGCATAAACCTCGTCATTAATATTATTGGAAGAGTGTATAAATTTAAAGAACATAAATGGGAAAATACTAATCATGATACTTTATTCGATAATAGTGATCATGATGATGGTTACGATGACGATAGAAATTCTGGTGGATCAAAAGATAGAAATATAAATAAAAATTCACCTATATTTTTGGAAGAAAAGGAAAAGAATCCTTCTTATCTGGTTTAAATAGACCAGGTTTTATCATAATTTTATTCGATAAAAATTTGTATTATTTATATGTAAATAGCCCATTCTAGCTTTTGAATAAAATTAAAAGTTTCTACTGAAAAAACTTTATATAAAATGTAACGACAAAACGTCATAATCAATAATATATTTCCTAGATTTTTTTGACTGAAATCATATAATAATGTAAAGTTCTACAATTTTTAATTAAAGTAAATGTTTGTTAAGTCCGGAACTTTAGCGATGATTTTTTTGATGCACTCAAAATTAGCCATTCAAAATCCGATTTTCAAGTTTTGTTGGTGTATTTTGATGAACCAAAATTTGCACCAAAATTGAATAGGGGCTCTGACTTTGTGCAATTGCAAGAGCCAATCAGCATCGACTCATTTATTGAGCGGAGAAAAATAAAAAATGAGTTAATGCTAAATCTGAAAATAAAAGTAAAATTGAATTTTTTTTCCGGCAGTTCCTCCCTTTCTATTGCAAACGTCCTTCACTAATAACTAAGTTAAATATATTAACACGTGAACTGTTTAACTAAATGATAAACTAATTTTTTAAGCATACAAGTCTAATAAATTACCTATTTGAACGCAATTCAGCCGCAAATTTTCACTTTTAATTGTTCTCTTTTCTTAGCTATTTAAAAAGTTCAAACTTCGACTTCTATCTATTCTAGGCCATGGATAAAGAAAGTCTATTGCCTATTTACCAGGTTCCATTGGCTTTTCGCCAAGCTCCATTAAGAATTAAAGAGTTAGAACAGCAAAATATAGAATTACAAGTCCAAATCCAGCAGAATCAGCAAACTATTAGTGAACAACAAAGTCAGATAAACGAATTGTACAAGATATCCTTTCCCAACAGTCCGTATAATTTCCATAAACTCAAACAAGATATTATCCGACTTAAAGTCCACGAATTAGCACCGCAAGTAAGAAATGAAAGCACAAAGTTGGTTCAATTAATTACGGAAGCAAAAAAAAAATCGGGCAATTTTTCTTCCATAGTTGACTTAATCCTAGAAACCCAAAAACAAATCGTGCTGAACAGCGAAACTTCTCAGCGAGATAAATTAATTGGCAAAATAGAAGCTTACCAAAGTATCCTTGCTAGTAATTTAGTTGATAAAGAGCTGCAAACTCTCTTAGACAAACAAACAGAAGTCCTAATATTAGAAAAGCATTTAGAAAGTTTACAAACAGAATATGTGCAGTTACCAAGTTTAAGTCGGTATAATTCCATGTCAAGAAAATAGAGAACAATGGTGTCAGATAAATTTCTGTCGGGGAAATAGTTGTATGGGACAAGTTTACATGCTAACATTTGTAAACTTTATATCGTTGACTTAAATAAATATACTTCACTCATAAATATTCGTAAATGTAAATAAATGTTATCCGATTATTTAATTACATTAGAAAAGAAAAGGTATATTTATTATGTTTTGTTCTTTTAATTCTGATAATTTCCCTTCGTCTTAATTTTAAAAAAAATAAAATGATTTCTTTGAACTACTTGTATTTTAAAGCCACTTCTTTATTATTAAGATTATTTTATAAATGAGTAATTTATTCTTAAAATAACGTATAGGCACGAAACTTTTTTTTTTTTTTTTGAGAAGTTTATTCAATATCAGCACTCAAACACTTTATGGAATAAACCAAAATACGAGATTTATTAAATTAATTAATGATAATTCCGGAAATATTTATATTAGATCAAAATAAAAAAAGATCCTTTTTCTCAAATTTATAAGGCGTCATCAGTAGTTCGTTGTGAGGAGGAATGATTTCTTTATAGGGAGGTAAGGTAAGGCGGTTTTTATTTTATTTTTATTTTTATTTTTATTTCTTTTTTAATTTAGCAAAACGATTAAATGATTTCATTTTTTTTTCCCACATTTTATGCCTTTTCTTTTTTTTTTTTTTGGTTCTTTTCAGGTTCATGATGGAGAATCTGAAATGATAAAGTTTTCGTCTTTTGATTAATTTTAATAATTTTTGTTTTAATTATTAATCGGCATTTTTTTTTGTTTTTTTTTTTTACCTTTTTAGTAATACTTTTATTTTCTTTAGTTTTCCAATTTGTAATTTTTAATAATTCATTTTTTCATTTTTTTCGGTTTGGGTACTGCGATAAAATTTATATTTATCATTATTATTTATTCTAAATTTTATTGGATTCTTTTTTGGATTCGTGATGGAGGGAGGGTCTTCAATATATTATGGTAAACCTTTTTTTTTCATTATTTAAATTTTTTTGCTTGTTTTATTGATATTTTCTAATTTTTCTTAGGTTCATTTTTTTTAGTTTATTCTATAAAGAGGATCAGATTGGGATTCAGCAGACATTTATAAAAAAAGTTAAATTTACATAAAAAAGATTTAACAGATTTCTAAGCTGCACATACAGTATGTATATAATATATAGAATCGTTTTTGAACCAGTTACAGTGAATATATCAGCAAATAATAAAATAAGTTACATTAATATAAAAATATTATGTATGCTATATATATATATTATTTTTTTATTTACTATGCACCTGCGCAAAATACATGGCATAAAAATTTTAAAAATGTATATATATATATTTTTTGTACTCGTCCGTATTTATATTATAAAATTACATATAAAACATTGTTATAAATTGGCGACTGAAGGGAGCCATTTCAATCTTTTTTTCTGATTTGGATTGATGACATGTTAAACGATTATATCCAAAATTATTACACATGCTGCATAGTAGTTTTAAACGTACATCCATTGAATATAATCTAATATAGGCCTTATTTGACATGAAGTAGGGTCTCTATTATGTCCGAATGTTCATTAAATAGTGTAGTGATATAAATTATAGGATTTGAATTTTTTTTTTTTTGATAGTTTGGGAGATTAACATGCTTTTACAGTTGGTTCATTGTTGACTTTGATGTATTTTTTATGATAATGAAATTATTTTTAATTCACATGCATATTAAAAATTGTATGCACCCGCACAGATTCAGTTTCCCTAAAAAAAAAAAAATTAAAAATTATTTTCTTTAATTGTTTGACGGATGGATATATAAAATTGTTTACTTGCGCATTTCCCAACCTATTATAGTTTTATACCGACAAAATTCTATATTTATACGTGAATTCATCATTCCCATATTATTCTAAATTAGGCAATATTTGAATGCAATACCTATAATAATTTAATAAATTTTCACAACAAATTTGTTCTTCTTTTCTAAACAAATCCTTCCATCTCACTATTTAAGTTCAAATCCTTCAAACTTCGACTTCTATCTATTCAAGACCATGTTCTTACAAGGTTCTGAAATTAAGATTGTAAACGCTCAACAATTTATAGAATTTAGATTTATCAGATGATCTTAATTTAACCATTGGAATCAATTCCCGATTAAAAACTTGCTCATTCGAACCGAATTATTTGGATTCGCCTCTATGGTACCGGCATCGATAATTTTTCTTTTTTGGCTGACACAGACAGTAATTTGGCCTCGAGCAAGAGATATTAACAGTTTGCTAACTAAACTAGTAGTTTATCCGAAGAAGAGCTGCATACACTTTTAAACAAGCTAAATAAGTCCTATAATTAGAAAAACATTTAGAAATTTACAACAGAATATGTTTAAGAATTTAATATACAACCCTAACAAATCAGTCGGTGTAATGGCGTTAGATTCCATGTCAAAAAAATAGAGAGCTGTGGAGTTAGAAACTATCGGGGAAATAGTTGTCTGGTAAAAATCTATTTGCGTATTAATACAAATTCGTACAAGTTGATAAATGCATTTGAAGAGAAAAGATATATATGCTTGGTTCTTTAATCTAACAAATTCCATTCGTCTTAATGTAAATTAATTTAAAATGAAACCTTAAAAAATAAATATTCCAATGCAGTGTTGCATGAATGTATAGGCGATTTTGTAGCAGGTGAATTTTCGAATGATAGCAAAATTTGAGGATATCAAGATAAAATAAATTTGAATGAATAATAAAATTTCATTTTTATAACAACTTATAAAATGTTCTGTAGGAGTAAATAAATGAATAGATCTCATTTATAAATACTAAAGTTTAAAGAAAATAGCTTAAAAGACAAATCATAATTTTATTTTCTTATTTATTTTTTAGGTGATAAAAAAAAAAATTCGTCTTATGATACAAAGTCCGACGTTGGTTTGATGGTATATAAGGATATTAACTTACTCTTTTTTTACTCAATCAAAACCTTCTTCTTACATGTTGTTTATAAATACATAAACGAAAGATCCGAATACAACAATTTACCTTTAATAAAACAAAATGATTCATTTATTAAAATGCTAAATTACTTTTACATTATTTTCTATTAATATTAAGATAATTAGATATACAATTTTAAAATGAATTTAAATGTTGTCAAAGTTTCAAATTAATGTAAAATTGTGTGATGTAAGTGAATGTAATGAAGTGTAAGGTGAAATGTTGTGGTTTGAAATAAAGCGAAAGTTAGGATTATTGTGAATAGCTGGTAATGATACTTCTCAAAAATGCCGAAATTTGATTTTTGAAAAAAGTTAAAAAACTTGACGAAATTGGTTAAATTCCGGATAAAGATAAGCTATTAAAATCACGGACCATGTGATTTACTATATTCGTAACTCGATTTTAATAGCCAACCTCCCATATAGGTTCGACAAGTGAAGTAGGGTTAGCTTTCGTTTAAACCTCAAATCCAGGAACAGCTATACAATTAATAAAACATTCTTCACCTTAATAAAAAAAATATATATATAATGTTTAATTATTTATTTAGAAACCTTTTATTGTTACACCGGTTATTATTGAATCGGTGGCTTAGAAGCTTAATGTTACATGATTTACCAAGTGCATTTTTTTTTTTTTTTGCTTTTTCACCAAAAATTATATTAAAAAAAATAAAATGCAAGAAGACAATAATTCAAATGACTGGATTAATTTGATAGAGGAATATATTTTAAGAAATAA